TTCAGTTTATCAACTGAATTGCTTGACGACAAGCAAAGGTTTAAACTTGGGGGAGTTGATATGTCTCCGTCGTATCTACTTTTCCAAATAATTTTGCCCTTGTTTTGGACTCTAACTTGCATGATTTGAATGGAACTAACCCGGACTGACACTGTTTTTAGCAGAATTGCCATGGTGTTATTTATGTCTAGAAACAAAAGTTCTCGGAATGACCTGAAACTTCACGGAGATTATTTTTGGAAATAATAAAAAATACTGGCAAAAGATCAAGACCAGGGGCCCACATCCTAGCCACGAGGGTGGGGGGTGCGCCTGCCCCCCTGGGCGCGCCCCCTACCTCGTGGGCCCCCTGGAGCTCCTCCGACCTCAACTCCAACTCTATATATTCGTGTTCAGAGAGAAAAATCGGAGAGAAAGATTCATCGTGTTTTACGATACGGAGCTGCCGCCAAGCCCTAAACTCTCTTAGGAGGGCTGATCTGGAGTCCGTTCGGGGCTCCGGAGAGGGGAATCCGTCGCCATCGTCATCATCAACCATCCTTCATCACCAATTTCATGATGCTCACTGTCGTGCGTGAGTAATTCCATCATAGGCTTGTTGGACAGTGATGGGTTGGATGAGATTTATCATGTAATCGAGTTAGTTTTGTTAGGATTTGATCCCTAGTATCCACTATGTTCTGAGATTGATGTTGCTATGACTTTGCTATGCTTAATGCTTGTCACTAGGGCCCGAGTGCCATGATTTCAGATCTGAACCTATTATCTTTTCATCAATATATGAAAGTTCTTGATCCTATCTTGCAAGTCCATAGTCACCTACTATGTGTTATGATCCGGCAACCCCGAAGTGACAATAATCGGGACCATTTCCGGTGATGACCATAGTTTGAGGAGTTCATGTATTCAGTATGTGTTAATGCTTTGGTCCGGTACTCTGTTAAAATGAGGCCTTAATATCCCTTAGTTTCCGTTAGGACCCCGCTGCCACGGGAGGGTAGGACAAAAGATGTCATGCAAGTTCTTTTTCATAAGCACGTATGACTATATTTGGAATACATGCCTACATTACATTGATGAATTGGAGCTAGTTCTGTGTCACTCTAGGTTATGACTGTTACATGATGAACCGCATCCGGCATAATTCTCTATCACTGATCCATTGCCTACGAGCTTTCCATATATTGTTCTTCGCTTATTTACTTTTCCATTGCTATTGTTATCATCACTACAAAATACCAAAAACATTACTTTTGTTACCGTTACTTTTGCTATTCATATTACTTTGCTACTAAATACTTTGTTGCAGATATTAAGTTTCCAGGTGTGGTTGAATTGACAACTCAGCTGTTAATACTTGAGAATATTCTTTGGATCAATAAATTTGGGTTGAATACTCTATCCTCGAAAACTGTTGCGATCCCCTATACTTGTGGGTTATCATATCTCCTGGGGGTAGAAGGCTTCGAGAGACCTTCATGGACCCGAGGGTGCAGAGGTGGAGGACAAAGATGCGGAGAAAGGGGAGATCGATGCAGCAGTGACTGTGACCGAAGACGACAATAGCGACATCGATTGGAGGCGTCTTCGACTACAGGGTTCACCAGGACGCGGCCGAGTAGTTTGGCACGCCGGCAAGGTCTAGCATGGTGATTGGATGAGCAAATGAGAAACGATGCTGGCATTGACGCGCCACGCCTTGACGTGCCACCCTCACCATCGTCATGCCTAATGTCGAACATTGCCAAATTAAAGCTCGTCATGTCTTCTCGCGGTCGTGTGTTGCCTCAGAGTGTGTATCGCTTATGGTTAGTGCTACTATACTTGTTACTTTCGCATGATTATAGGATCTTCCACATGAATACTATCAATTGCAAAGGGAAGATTGATAATTCTATGGGCTAAGCTATTTTAGGTTCGGTTGTCTTAAATAAAGAAATTAAGGACCAAAAGTTTCCATGACCAGACTGGTACATGGAACTTAGTTTGGAGCCTTTTGTGCCCACCAAAGTTCAAAAAATTATCTAGAGAGCGTTGCATAGTGTGATTCCATGCTGGTCTATTCTAGCTAATAAGCATCTTAAAATTAATCCTAATTGTCTTGCACGCAATCAGGGACCCGACACAATTCAACATCTTCTGTTTGAATGCAAACTCGCAGTGGACGTTTGAAAATCTCTCAGTCTGGAGGATGTCATTAGGAGAGCAACCAATGTGGACAGGGCTAGTGAAGCTGTTTTGTGGCACTTGTTATGCTTAAAGGACATTGATATTCATATGTTGGGACTGCCAAAACAAAGGGAAATTATGGCAACGGCAGCATAATACCCTTGGTACGAAAGGAGGAAATTGACCCATGGTGGAATATATCCAAAATGCAGCTCAAATAAGTTTGGCAGTGAGAGGACTTGCGGCCAACTTCGTTATATCATGTAGTCTGAAACCTATATAGAAAGTGGTTGGTTGTGTGAAACCAAGATATAGCCATGTCAAACTAAATGTTGATGCTGGATTTGACAGTGACACGCTGGAGGGTTCAGTCGGTGCAGTTTTTCGAGATCATAGCGGGCAGTTTGTTGCTGCTACTAACAAAAAACTTGATACTTGTTTTATTTCATTTACAGCAGAGGCAATAGTTGTCCGATTTGGTATGAATATTGCGTGCGTCGTGAGGCTGCAGCAAAGTTGAAATCTGTTCAAATAATGTGGACGTCGCTGAAGCTCTAAAAGAGGGTAGTTCTACCTCTGTTGCTAGTGCAATCTTCGATGATTGCTACTTTATGTCCTTAGATTTTACCATATAATCTATAATTATTACTAGTTTAGAGAAAGTAATTAAGTAGCTCATAAATTAGCTAGGTTAGCTAAGTTTTCTCCCCCTGAAATTATGGATGGATTCGGCCTTTAGTGCGATCATCCCAATGCTTGTATATGATGCTACTATCGTGACACATGAAAAAAAGGGGGAGTTTATTGTAAGAAAAAAATGACCAAAAGTTTCCAGCCGTTTCCAGCGCGGAGCGTACTGAACTCGTCACGCCGTTTCCAGCCGTTGGATTGGATGAGCTGTGCTGTATTCGGTCGGAGGCTCGGATCGTGCATCCATCTGTAAGCTTCTTGACTCTTGTAGCACCCACCCCTCGAAAAAGGAAGCAGCATCACTCTCCGCCGCGCCGCGAGAACTAGCCGAGCCCATCGTGTATCCTCGTCGCCGCCAGGAGCACGGAGCGACACCGCCGCCGCAGCCAGCGCTTCCTCTCCAAGGTGCGTGACCACCGAATCCAAAACTTCTCTGGATGAACCATGGTTCTTTTCCGTCGCCAGAAACACATGCCCTAGAGCACATGCGGCTCGAGTAGGGCTGTAGGGGACAGAGGGGTCTGTATCCCGTTGGTTGGGGGGTTGCGCGAAAGCCGATAAACGCGGTGTCACCGATGGTGGAACGCAGTTGAGCGCCTGGTTTTTAGTGAGACAATTTTTGCCTGATGACTTGGGGATTTTGCGCTCGTGCACGTGAAGTGTTTGATGGAATGTTGTGGTCGGCGCTGCCGAATCTTGTGTGGCCACGGCTTGTAGAGCATGGAGCAGAGTCCTATGCTTTTCAAAGTGTAAATCAAATTGGAGGCTAGCAAGTTTGTTTATGCATGTTAGTCTTTGCATTATGAGCCTAACTCTCAACAGAAGCTGTTTCTGGTAAAGCGTTGCTGTTTAGTTTTGTGTGTCAAAATGTTTAGGGAAGCTTGTCCGATCCTATCCAGCACTGCAGGTGGTTATAACTCAAAACCTGTGTCTATGTTGTTTTGTCATATGTATTTCTGATCAGCCATGCCTACAATCGATGATGTGGGCAGAGCTGCTGTTTGACGGACAGCCTAATTACACTGTTGCCGGCCATTGTATATGGGGCTGTTGCTTTGCTAGTCCCCGTAGCTCAGTCACATTCCTCTGGTTTAGGTCTTCAATTTCCCCCAAATCGTGAGTTACGATTAGTCGGTTTCTCTTTGAGACAGATTTGTGCTCAGAGTAATTTGAATACTGCAGTCTCCTTACTGGAATTAATAATAATAATAAATAGGTTCAGTTGATTGCAGTATCCAAATTATATATGACATCAACAACAAATCTGTGGAACTAGCCAACCAGGTGACCATTGATTGGAAATGTTGTGGAGCAACTTCCAACGTCGAAACCAGGATTACATCGCCTAACATACCACACCTTTCTTTTGCGGGGAATTTAATATGCTATACCTAAAGGCATGAATCATGGGGTAGCATTCTTCTTGAGTATGAGTGAGTTTCTAGCTTAGCCACTAGTTGTGAGAACATGTGATCAGTGATTTGTTGTAGCTTTAGTAGGAAACATGTGCCTAGGTGTTAGTATGTCACAACACACTCTTACGATGTATACCCTTGCACGGAACTGTATCTTTTTTTATGAGAGATCTCTGTTAGGAGATACTCAGTGGCTTTCAAATTGGTTAGCTTAAATGTTGGTAATGTTGGCATTTTCTGGTGATTTGTGATGTTTCTCTTTGTAAGATATCCCATGAAATTGTGTTTGAAACCCACCTGATGATGCCGAACAAACATATTGGAATGATGTTGGTGCCATTTTTAGCCATACCCACCCTGTTTGCCTTTTTTTTTAATTATGAGATGTAGTAGCAGTATAATTTGTCCTTCCATTATTTCTCGTAAACCTGACAAACAATAATGGCACGTAATGTAGAGCTGGAGGAATATGTATTTCTGAAAGAGTTTTTGCTGTTTTCCTGTTTTCAGAATAATTAATTGAACAACTATTTGCTTCTCTGTAGGGGATACTGTGTTTAGTTTGCTAATAGTTACAATGGTAACCTCATTAACAGTTTGCTTCTCTTAGGAGGGGATGTGAATTGCTCATCTGCTTGTTATTCCTGCTACTTGCAGATTAACATTGCTATATTCTGATCATATATGAATCCAAATATGATTTGCCAGGTTAGCATCTGACCAGCCATGGCGAAGCATCATCCTGATCTCATCATGTGCCGGAAGCAGCCTGGCATTGCTATTGGTCGCCTGTGTGAGAAGTGTGATGGCAAGTGCGTCATCTGTGACTCGTACGTGCGCCCATGTACGCTTGTCCGGGTCTGCGACGAGTGCAACTACGGCTCGTTCCAGGGAAGGTGCGTCATCTGCGGCGGAGTTGGCATCTCAGACGCCTACTACTGCAAAGAGTGCACGCAGCAGGAGAAGGACCGAGATGGGTGCCCCAAGATTGTCAACCTTGGAAGCGCCAAGACCGATCTCTTCTACGAGCGCAAGAAGTACGGTTTTAAGAAGAGATGAATTACATACATGGATTTGTCGGGTCCTCCGGGCCTCTCATTCTGTGCCGTTACGCTAATACCAGAAGCAGGTTGCTGGGGCAGCGGCATTGTGTCCGTGTTATCGTTTGATCCTTATATACAAGAATGCATCCCTGATATGCTCTGTTGTATGGTTCAAAACTCTAGACTGCATATGCAGTATGCACTTGATGTGAATGACCATGAATGTTTGACTTGAAATGTGTGCTGGGATGGCCTTTTGTATTTTTACTTAATCGCCTCAGCTACTCTGAAGACCTGAGGTATGGCTGTAATGTAGAAATACATGCTGGTAGCAGATCATGCCTGATGTGCTTATGATGGAGAGTCAGCTGGAAGTAGGGATTCAAGCGGTGGGCTGGAGGATAATACTGTAGTGCAGATGTAGTGTTAATTTCGCGGGACGAAGCGGGATGCCGCTTGCACCCCAAGCTGAAAGTAATCTGATCAGTGGCGTTCTTGCTGGGCGTATGGACGTACCATGTATGCACTTCCAGGATTTTGTACTTGTATAGGGGATAGATAACCTAGGAGAAAATCATTTTGGAGCTCGGCCTCCATGGAGGCTGATCTTTTTTTTTTGAAAAATTCAAAATTCATACTATTTGATTTCAAAAAAATCTGAAAAAATTGCACAAGTACACAAGGATATGATGTGTATATGTGTAAAATTTCAGAATGAAATACCTTGAGATGCGATCTGTGCAAAAAGAACAAATTCATGGACTTTTGGGATGAATAGTATCATGTGTTGAAAAGCCAAAGATTTTTCTTTTTTGCACAGCCCTCATTTCAACATAATTCGTCCTGGAAATTTACACACACGTGTGTTATGCCTCCATGTATGTCTGTATTTTTTTCAGGATTTTTTGCAATGTGAAAAATATAAATTTTGTTGAATTTTGAATTTTTCAGAAACCGGCTTTCATGGAGGCCGAGCTCCAAAAGTAATTTTCGATAACCTAGCAACTATGTGACTTCAGTATTTTGTTTTTGTATATAAATTAGTAAACGTATGATCCAACTTCAAATATACCTGCAAGGTTGTAGTAAGTCTGTATCCGCAGGATAAATGCATGGCATAACAAATTAACAATTCTGTGGTTTGATCACCTATGTTTACTAATTTTAGGACCAAATAAGAGATAGTCTTATTTTTGGCTTTGAAAAAACAAAAGGCGCCCCTGCAATGACAGAATACTATTTGATTTCAAAAAAATCTGAAAAAATTGCACAAGTACACAAGGATATGATGTGTATATGTGTAAAATTTCAGAATGAAATACCTTGAGATGCGATCTGTGCAAAAAGAACAAATTCATGGACTTTTGGGATGAATAGTATCATGTGTTGAAAAGCCAAAGATTTTTCTTTTTTGCACAGCCCTCATTTCAACATATTTCGTCCTGGAAATTTACACACACGTGTGTTATGCCTCCATGTATGTCTGTATTTTTTTCAGGATTTTTTGCAATGTGAAAAATATAAATTTTGTTGAATTTTGAATTTTTCAGAAACCGGCTTTCATGGAGGCCGAGCTCCAAAAGTAATTTTGGATAACCTAGCAACTATGTGACTTCAGTATTTTGTTTTTGTATATAAATTAGTAAACGTATGATCCAACTTCAAATATACCTGCAAGGTTGTAGTAAGTCTGTATCCGCAGGATAAATGCATGGCATAACAAATTAACAATTCTGTGGTTTGATCACCTATGTTTACTAATTTTAGGACCAAATAAGAGATAGTCTTTAGGACCAAATAAGAGATAGTCTTATTTTTGGCCTTGAAAAAACAAAAGGCGCCCCTGCAATGACAGAATACTGTTTATTCGTTAGCTCACAAGATTTTGTGATGGGTGGTTTTGGCCGTGAAGGCGCACGATACATACCTGTCGCATTGTTGGCGCTGGTCGATGTTTAATCATAGTATATTGGTTTCGTGCTGTAACCGTGCTTGCCGCACGGTGTATGCCAGCACCCGGGCGTCACCTTTTATTCCACAGTGTATGGACCTGGAATAGCGATGTGGTACTAAACATCAGCGCAGCAACACGTAAGCAAGGAACCACCGACCACACGGGCTTGTTTTCCTTGGCGCTTGCCTTCGTGATAGAGCATCTCCCGCGGTGTCTCCAATGGGCCCATGACATTTTTTAGCGCCGGCGCCAAAAAGCAGTTCAGCCACGTCCTTAAGAACCCGTTTTTTGTCGGTTTAGTTTGAAACTGACGTCGGCGGACCCAAATCGAACCCGACGCCTGAAGACGCCGGAGAAACTAATTTTGGCGCGAATAGGAATGAGCCCGCCGAGTCAGCGACACGCCGCTTCGCCGTTCTCATCGCCTCGGTTCCCGCGGGAATCAATGCCAAGGCTGCCGCGCTGCCGTGTCGGTCAGCCTTCCATTGATGCCTCACGGATGGCGCAGTGAAGGCGCCACAACGCGCGTCCCACCCACTCCTGCCACGCGGCACCCGGCGAGCAAGTTCTCACCGCCTCGCTTCGGCTATAAAAGCCGACCTCCCCGTCGATGAACGCCACAGTCGCCACACCTCGCCTCCTCTCTCACCTCGTCTCGCCACAGAAGCCACTCTCCCCCTCTTCCCCCGCCAACGAGCAATGGCTGAGCGTTATCCATGCGACGCCCCGGCGGCTAACGGCTTCGCCCGACGCCATCTTCGCGAGGACAAGGCGCGCCTCCTCTACGAGATCGACTACCCGGCGTCCCCAGACATGCGGGTGCCGGGCTCGTGGAGGCTGAGCGCCGCCGGCGTCCCGGTGCCCCCGGTTCCCACCGGGGCTGAGCGGCGAGCCGAGATCGCCCGCATTCGTTCGTCGTTGTCGGAGGCGCAGCGGAACGAGCCGAGGTACACTGCCGACAACCACACAGTGTGGACGATGTACTTCCACCGCCGCCACAAAGACCAGGTCGCCTCCACCGACGGCATCATCCCCGCGGCCGCCTCAACACCGACGGGCGGTGTGAATGGTGAGGCGTGCCCGGCCGCACCCTCGAGGCCGTCCTCGATCACATCGAGACCGGCAACACACCGCGCGTCGAGTACCAAGCGCCCCCGTCCTTCTCTCGCCGCCGCAGTAGTTCCTGGACGGCGCGGCGAATGGAGGCGGCGACCTCCTCGTCGTCGGGCTCCGGTTCGCTCTCCTCCGGGTCGTCAGCGCTCCGCCCCATCAAGCCGGAGCCACAGGAGACGCCGCTTGGGCGCCGCACCGGCAGCGGCGCTATAACGCCCTCAATGCGGCTATATCTCCTACGCGTCGAAGCACGACTTAGAGACATAACCGCATTGAAAACAATGTCGCAAGTAAGGTAATCTTCACAACATCCCATGTAATACATAATAAGGGGAAAGGTAACATAGTTGGCTTACACTCGCCACGTCACACAAAATACATAAATAGCAATACATCATCCAATACACTCATGGTCCGACTACGGTACCAAAATAAAAGATCAACCCAACATGCGACATGGTCCTGATCACCCCAACTGGGCACCACTACTGATCATCAGGGAAAGACATATAGTAACGGCGTGAGTCTTCGTCGAACTCCCACTTGAGCTCAAGCGCATCATCTGGAACGGAGTCATCGGGCCCTGCATCTGGTTTGGAAGTAATCTGTGAGCCACGGGGACTCAGCAATCTCGCACCCTTGCGATCAAGACTATTTAAGCTTATAGGTAAGGCAAGGTAAATATCTAGAGCTGCAGCAAGCGACTAGCATATATGGTGGCTAACCTGTTCGCAAAAGAGAGCGAGAAGAGAAGGCAAAGCACGAACGAAGAACTAGAGAAACAACCTACGGCAAGCATTACTCCAACACCGTGTTCGCTTCCCGGACTCCGCCAAGAAGAGACCATCACGGTAACACACGCGATTGATTCATTTTAATTAAGTTAAGGTTCAAGTTATCTACAACCGGACATTAACAAATTCCCATCTGCCCATAACCGCGGGCATGACTTTCGAAAGTTCAAATCCCTGTAGGGGAGTCCCAACTTAGCCCATGACAAGCTCTCACGGTCAACGAAGGATATACCTTCTCCCGAGATATTCCGATCAGACTCGGTATCCCAGTTCTACAAGACAACTCTGACAAGTCAAAACAAATCCAGTAACACCGCCCGAATGTGCCGACAAATCCCGATAGGAGCTTGTCGGGGGTTTGGTGCGACATATGCCAACGGATGGCTTATCATGGTGGGGGCGAGTAGAACGTCGCCGGTGCCTGGAAACGGGATGAGGTGAAGACATGCACGCCGGCGAATCTTACCCAGCTTCAGGGCTCTCCGAGGAGATAACACCCCTACTGCTGCTCTGCGGGGTCTCCGCATGATCACTATGGTCAAGTGTTTACACGGTTGCTCCTTGAGCTGTATCTGGTGGTAGGAGAGGGCAAGGCCAGCTCCCTCCTTCTATCTGGTATGGTGTAGAACTACTGGGATCCAACCCTTTGCATGGGTGCCCTGTGGGGTTTATATAGGCGCACCCCCCAGGGGTACAATGGTAATTAGACTGTGCACGGGCCCAGCCGTTAGTGCCTCTGACCTCCGACTTCTCCGCCGACTGCTGGGGCCCGCCGACTGGTCTGGTACAGAGCCGACAGGCCGCGTCCGCCGCGGGCGAGTCTTGCCGGCTGCTGATTACTATAGCCGTGCTCCTGATGACGCAGACTTGGTCATGGGGTCATGGCAACAGCCCCGCCGCCTGGCGGGCGATCACTGTGGCCACTCCCCATCTCATCTTGATTAATGGCGTGTGGGCCCCGGGGGCTGGCTCGGCCGACTTCCCCGGGCCGACTCCCGATGGGTCCGACTGGCGGTCCTCCCGCCGTCTCCCGAGGTCTCGCTGGCCGGTGGGTCCCGATGCTTCCAGGCTGTACAGACAAACCGTCGTGGGCACAGGACTCGGTACTGTGGTGCTGACGTTAGGGCTAGCATGGCAACAGTGCCACGCCGCACG